CCATGCGATTACCAGTCTCCCTGGGGACTGCAAGGCCAACCTGAGTGTCTGCCCTCCGTGCCATGCCCCGGGGGTCTCTGGACAGTCATCTCCAGGGAACTACAGTTACCCTGACTCAAGGCTGCTGCATGCCAGGAAAAGCACCCCTAGGGGCCCTGCATGTCTCCCCCCTTGCCGACCTTTGGGGAACATCAGAGGAGAGAGTGTTAATGTCAGAAACATTCAAACCTGTGAAGAATTTTTGTGAGTTTATTTGAGCCAAACTGTGGACAATTGCTGGGAAGCAAAATTTCAATGGATTGAAATAATGCTCCAGAGAATGGCAGTTTTGCACCCTGCTTTATAGATTACAATCAAAGGAGAAGACACAAGTGGGTTATGTGAAATTCACTGGTGATAAATTAGGGAGGCTGGAGAAAGCAAAGTGTGTGTGTGTTGGGGAGGAACCTCTGGGATTGGATAAAAAGTAAAAAGATAGAACATACTTCTTTTACATAGGTGGGTACAGGAACAGTTAACAAGATAACAACGAGAGGATTCCTGGTCTCTGCCCTGGTGCATTGAGGGCCAGGAAAAAGGGGAAATTACTTTGTTTTGCAAAGGCTTGTGTTAATCAGGTATGTTATCTTAGGTGCAAAAGACAACTGACAGGCTTAGTTAGGGTGAAAATTAACCTTTGTTATGGAAAAATACTGCCTCCGGATGTGGCTACCAACCATAAACTACTTATGTTTAAAAAATTTTAATTTCAGACCACCCTTTGCGGTTATTTTAGGTCTCTGAGCTTGCAAGGCCACCACGCAGGCCTGCCCTGAGCTTTTCAGGTTTAGTATGTGGCTCCTTTTCATCCACAAGAATCTTGTCCTGAGTTTATTGGAGGGCAGCCACGAGGGTCACAGAGGGGGACTGGCATTAGTCCCCTGTTTCTAGGGAAACCTTTTCCCTTCCATATTACTGGGCTGTGTAAGGACTGCCAGGCCCTGCCACTCACCTGGGTATGGGGCCCACAGGGGCAGACACCTGGGCACAGGGCAGGCAGATGGCAGCATGGGCCAGGTAGGCTGAGTGAGGGAAGCCTGGGAGAGCCTTCTCAAGAAAGAGGCCTTTACATTCTCAGGTCAGACTGATTTGTGGAGACAGATTATATGTAGCTGGTGGTGGGTGGTGGGGAGACAGAGGGTGCCAATCTGCCCCCAGGGATGGGAGCTGCCTTCTAGGCCCACAGCTGCTTACAGATGCAACAACTTCCCTCCCCTGGGGCTTTCTGAGGGCTGCACACTGGATTCCCCACCCCCAGCCCAATCCTGCTGAAACCTGCTTCACTGCCCCTGCCCCAGGCTGCCATCTCATCTTCACCCATCCTGTCTCCTGGATGCACTCAGACTCCTGGCTTCCTCCCTGCTGACTCTTCCACCTCAAATGCTCCTTTCCTCTCCTCAGCCCTCAGGGCCACCTGCTCTTGGACATCGGGACAGTTCCAGGGCCCATGGCATTGGCCTGTCCCTCATTCTGCACTTTCCTTAGGACACAGGCCAACTGTCATGAACAGTTCCTGGGCAAATGGCACCTCATGCAGAAATATGACACCACTGGGTGCCAACCCTGTAATGGTGCTAGAGATGCAGACATGAGGGACTGGTGGGTTCTGCCTTGGGCAACTCCCTGGATGAAGCCCCTGGTCTGGGCTGTCCCTGTGGGGGAACTTATAGCTCAGCTGGGAGGACAGACTTAAAAAGTCACCAGCAGAGGGCCAGGCGCTCAGCGCTGCTCACCCACTGTGGCCAGCCAGCAAGCAGTGCCGTCTCCATCATGTGCCCCATGTGGCCCAGGTGCCTGGCAACCCTCTGCCTCTTTTGCCTGATCCTGCTGCACACGGTGTCCTGGCCACTGAGTGGGTGAGGAGCTGTTTCCTGCGAGCCCCTGGCAGGCAGGGCCACGCTGTTTCCCTGCCCGTCTCTTCCCCAGCGGGAGGCTGGCTGACCCTCTGCCCCCTCCTCAGGGCCGGAAGGAGCCATACTTCATTGCCGAGCTCTTCCGGGCAGCAGACAAGGACAAGGACAGCCAGATTTGCTTCGACGAGTTCCTGTACATCCTGGGCCGGCTGCTGAGGGACTACCACCTGCAGTACCACCGGCAGCTGTGCGCCCACTACTGCGCCCAGCGGAGCCTCTACTAGGGGGGTACAGGCCCACTGGGCCTGCCCGAGGAGCCATGTGACCAGCCACGGGTGGCTGTGTGTGCCCGATGTGTGTGCACACACATGTGCACGCCTGCAGGAAGGACGCCTGGGAGGGAAGATAATAAAGCAACTTCACAGCAGCTTCTGGTGTCTCTCTGTTCATGTTAGAGCATCAGCAATGGGTCTGGGGGTGGGAGGTTTGGATCCCCCCAATAGGGGATCCTCTATTTTGGGTGAGAGACAGAGCTCCTGCCTCCAGGAGCACCTGAGAGGAGAGACAGCCCCTGCTCTCAGCCTTCTGCGAGAGAGGAGCCCTCTCTCTTGGGGAGCTGACCCTCGGACATGTGATGTTTCATCACTCATTCACTACACCTACATGATGGGACAGGACGGGACGGCAGAGGCACACTGGACACGAGCCCTGGTTTCGAAGGTCTCTTGTCTCTGGAGAGCCCCAAGGAATCAGTGCACAAAGGCAGAGCGCCTGGGAAGGGGCCAGGACAGGGTGGGAAGATGCTGCTGGTAACTGGCTGGGGAGGCGGGTGTCAGGGCCAGGCTGGGAGGGTTGACTGTGAGGTGGGTCTTGGGCAGGCCGAGTCAGAGTCGGGGGCAAGGGCACAGCCAACAATCCAGCCTGTTATGGGGAAGAGCCTGAGTGGAACTTGGGTGACTGTCAATTAGGGGAGTCTTCCTGGAGGTTAGACGGGTTGGGTCTGGTTTTACTAATAAAAAATGATGATAGATGTGGGTGTTACTCCAACTCAGGGCTACTTGTGACTCACCGACCCAAGTCCTCCCTTGGTCCCTGCCGGCCCCCTGAGACCTGCCCCTGCCCTGTCTGTGCTGCTTTTCTCTCTCTCCCTGAGAGCTCAGGAACCTGAGGCACGGTCTCTCTGGGAGGGTCTCCTCTGCTTTAGGCCCTGCTACGGCTCATCTTGGTGGGATTCTTCTCTGAGGATTGTCCGGGAACCCACATCCTAAACTTACTGCGGTGGAACAATGAGTTTTAAAAGAATAATGGAGCCCCAGCTGGTTTGGCTCAGTGGTTCAAGCATAGTCCTATGGACTGAAGGGTTCTATTCTGGTCAAGGGCACACACCTGGGTTGCACGCTTGTGGCCTTCCTGTGGAAGGCAACCAATTGATGTGTCTCTCATCAATGTTTTTCTCTGTCTCTCCCCCCCTTCCACTTTCTCCGAAAAGCAAGGGAAAAAATACCCTTGGGTTTGGATTAAAAAAAAACACCACTTTAATTAATCAAATGCTTTAATCTAACCAAGCGCTTTAAGCTAACCACGCCCTTTAAGATAATCAAGAGCTATAATCTATCCAAGCGCTCTAATTTAATGAAGCCCTTTAATTAATGAAGGGCTGGGCTGGGGAGTCTCGCGCAGCTGCATTCAACTCTGGGCCACTGGGAATCACATCCATTCTGTTGTCCCTGTTTCAGAAAACTAAACTTCACTTTCAGCATTTTCATGCAGAGGCAAAAGAGCCGTCGCGGGAGCCCACTGGCCTGT